CAGATAGACGAAGTACACTGCTGAGGGGAGCAGCGGGCGGGTCAGGAGAGGGCTGCTGTACCATGTGGGTCACCTCCAGGGTGGGGATCGAGCTCATGCCGAAGTGGCTTTAGCTACTCAGTGCTATGCTTAATCCGCTGCGCCACCAGGGAGGGCCCCTTAACAACTTAATACTTTTCTGGTGATCATGTCAGATATCCTTGAAGGAGCCAACAAAGGGTGAAAGTTAGTATTGTCAGGCTTTGGCTAATATGATCCCCCCATGCTTGTTACGGAAACTTCAAGGCGATGTATGTTATTTCCTCTAATAGAATTATAGAGACATTTTTCCAGTGCTGTTACTTATCTCTGCTATTTTAAGATTTTAAATTGATGTGAAAAAATCAGTTCTTTGTGTAAGAAACTACTTAGTCTTACCCTGAGTAGGTAAAACCCAGTTTTCCATCTTTCCCATGTCTCCTTTGCTGCTCCTACAGAACACACCACTCCTCACACCCCTGGTCACCAGACGTGTGTGCGGTTGCCCTGTACCAGGCGGTTCTCCACAATGCCAGCTGGGGCCCTGCAGCTCAGGTCTGACAGTGTTAGACCCTGTAGTGTAAGGCCACCGTTCAGGACTCAGCCCCAGGAGACTTCCCGTGTGCCCCTCAGATGCCAGTCCTGACTCAGCTGTGACTCAGCTTCTGGCCAGTTGGCTATACCTCAGAGGTTCCCACGACTCCCTCTTACTTGCTAGAGCGACCTGGAGAACTTGGGAAAACTGTTTGGAAGATTCTGCTTACCAGTTTATTGTAAAAGTGTGGGATAAAGGGTGGAGCATCCAGATGGAAGGGACCCATAGGGGCAGCTGTGTGGGAAGGGCTTCCACGCCTCTGTGGGTGCTGTTCTCCAGCACCTCCGTGTTCACCAGCCTGGAAGATTGCTGAATCCTGCACCTTAGGAATTTATGGCTGCTTTCTTGTGATCAGGCACTAGCTCCATTTCAGCCCCTCGTCTCTTTAGGCAGTGGGGGGTGGGGCTGCAAGTCCCCAGCTTCTAAGCATGTTTGGTCTCGGCGGTACCCAGCCTCAACTAGGAGCCCCCCAGAGCAGCCTTGTTGGGACAAAACACACCTCTGTCACCCAAGAAATTCCAAGGGGTTTAAGAACTCTGTGTCAACGATAAGATAAAAAAAATCAAATATTAGAACCAAAAATGCACAGGATTAAAGGTGCTCACTCAGGAAATTACAGGGGTTTTAGGAGCACTGGGCCAGAATCAGGGGTAGAAACCAGTATCTACTTTTGTCTCACATTTTCATTATGCTGGAAAAAAAAGGTGCAAAGTGTTTTTGATGCGAGAGCAATTTTTAATAATTTATTCATCTTAAAGTACATTTTTATCTATAGTATCTTACTTATATAATATTTACTTCATATGTCTTTCCAATTTGTTATTTGTAATTTTGTCTCTCCTTTTTTTTCACAGGTCTAACACATCTTATTACTATGGATTTACACCAGAAGGAAATTCAGGGCTTCTTCAACATTCCTGTTGATAATTTAAGAGCATCTCCCTTCTTATTACAGTATATTCAAGAAGAGGTAAGCGATCTTAAATCTTTTAATTTTAGCCTTCTGTTTCAGGTTGAAAGATACATTTCCATTTTCTTAGGCTGTCCATAAAGGATTAAACTTGATGTGTTCTGGGTAAGGTGCAATTTGCTTTGTAACTATAATTCATTGTGTTTAAAAATTATTAATCTGTGAAACTTTTTGATTCTAAAATAATCTTTAAACATTTTTTAAAAATGTATTTTAATTTTGGGGTTGTACTTTTGCTCTTCCACATGTGCATAAGTTCTACTCACCCTCCACCAAACCACCTGTGCCACTACCTCCCTTCGGCACATCCTCTACCTTCCTCTACTCCCCCTTATATTCTTTTTTTTATCCCTCCTTAGATTCTTTTAAGCGGCAATTTATTTCTTCTGCTAAGATTTTGACTTTGGTGAAATCCAACTTATGCTTGTTCTCTTCTGTTAACTCATGCTTTTGCTTTATATCTAAAAAAGCACAAAACATTAACATTTCCCCCTGTTCTGTGGGTTTTAGTTTTAGCTCTTATATTTAGGTTGCCACATTTTGAGTTAATTTTTATATAGGGTATGAGGTAGGAGTCCAGCTTTATTCTTTTGCATGTTGGTTGTCTGGTTGTTAAAAAAAAAAACCAAAACTGTTCTTTTCCCCATTGAATGATTGTCAAAACCTCTTGTCAAAAAACAAAAAGAAAAAGAAAACAACAATGGGCTATAGCTGTTTGGGCTTGAATCTGGACTCTCAGTGTTGTTTTGTATGGCTAGCTCATGCCAGTACCATACTGTTTTGATGAGTGTACGTAGCCTTATAGTAAGGTTTAACATTGGGAAGTGTGAGACCTCCAGATTTGCTCTTGTTTTTCAAGATTACTTTGGGTATACCGATTTTGCAGTTCTATATAAATTTAAGAATTAGCTTTTCCATTTCCAGACAAAAGTTTTTGGAGTTTTGATAAGGGAGGATTGAATCAATAGTTGCAACACTGTGAGCCTTCTTGCCTGAATATGAGCTCTCTTTCCACATGTTCAGTCTCTGATTTCCTTAAGCATTGCTTTATAGTTCTCAGTGCACAAGTCTTTCATTCCTTTGGTTACATTTATTTCCAGAATACTATCATATATGGAATTTTTATCTTAATTTCCTTTTGGATTGTTCATTGTTGATGAAATGAACCAAATTGATTTAGAGTGTCAATCTTGTACCTGCAACTTTGCTGAATTCACTTACCAGCTCAGATAGCTCTTTTGGTGTGGTATGTGTGTGTAGGGTTTTCTACATATGAAATCATTGCATCTGTAAATGGAGACAGTTTGACTTATTTCTTTCCAGTTAGTGTACCTTTTCTTTCTCTCCTTACTTAATAGTTCTGGTTAGAACTTCCAGTACCTTGTTGAACAGCAGCCGTGAAAGTCTGTGTCTTCTTCCTGACTGTAAGGTGAAAACTTTCAGTCTTTCCCTGAATCTTATATTAGCTTTAGGTTTTCCAAAACAAATTCTCCAGATACCTCTTTTGAAACTTTATAGATTTCTGAGGAGTTTTTTTCTGGCAAGAGTATTAGCCTTCCCCCTCCTTCAGTAATTAACATAGGCTCTCCTTAGTGACAATGAATTTAGGCATTTTTAGAAGAGAAAAATAAGGCATATTCTGGTTATTTACTTTACAGTTATCCAGAAGAAACTTAACATTATAATAAATGTGGACTATAATTTACCTGAATGTTATCCTCAGTTGAAGGACAGAGAAATGTCTTGATAGGGAACAAAAAAAAGTGGTCCAGTCAGAGAGAAGGATGAGAGGGCAAGACGTGGTTAGTTAGGACATGATCCAATTCAGAACCATCTGGATGGAGAAACCTGTAGTTTGGGAAGAAATAATAAAGCAGCCAGTATTGACTTTATAGGTGAGTATGGCCTTGTGGTCCGTTGGGATGTTCTGCTTGATGCCGCTGACATCTTGAGGCCTAAGTGGCTACAGCACCCTCTGGAGGCCTGTGGGTCCCATGAGTCAATGTGGCAGCATCTGTGGCTGATCCTGAGGTCAGATTGGAAGTTCCCTGCACAGCCTGAGTCACTGCCTCTTTACGTAGACTTTTCCGTCCTTCCACCTGAAAAGTCCTTTTAAGGTTTCACTGTGACATGGTCAGAGTTGAGCTCCCGCTTAGACTGTGGTTAGGCAAGCTAGGGAAATGGTTCTTTGTTTTTGATGGTGAACTAATGGTGGTAACTCCAAATATTTCAATTTAAAATGTTTTGTTCCTACTCTTTAATGAATCTCTTTATTCATGTAAATAAATTAAAACAAGTTATAAAAAAAAGTACAGTAGGGCATCTTGCTGTTAAGGAATCCAGTTTGCTTTTTTTATAGTGTATTTATTGTGTTCCTTTGGTTTTCAAGCAGATGATTGATAGATCATGTCTTCCTCTATTTAAAATGTGTTCACACTATCACAAAGGAGAGAGAAAATTTTGCCAGTTCTACTATAATACAGTGCCACAGGTCCCTCACAGATCCTGTTCTGCACATTTTGCTGTTCATGCATTCCTGGTTTTTTTTTTTTTTTTTTAAGAGTTATTTATTTATGCATGCAAGAACTGGGGTATAGGCCAGAGATGTGGGAGTGAGAGGATTCACCAGGGACAGTGGGGAGCAGAACAGGCAGATCGACTGAAATACACTGCTGAAGGGAGCAGTGGATGAGACAGGAGAGGTCGGCCGCACCGGGTGGGTCAGCTCCCTGGCCAGGGATAGAACTTGTGCTGCAGTGGCTGTGGATTGCTTCATAGTGCTGTGCTTTAATCCTTTGGCCACCAGGGCCACCTTGGGCCACACATTCCTGTTTGACAGCTGTGTTTCTCTTCAGTTGTCACTGAAATCAAAGCGCTTTCTCCCAGAGTCAGGGGAACTTAAAACTTTTGTCACCCATAGTAGTCCCCCCCCTTACCCATGAGGGTTACATTCCAAGACCACCAGGAAATCTCTGAAACCACTGATAGTGCCAGTCCTATATCAATTATGATTTTTGCCTATGATAAAAGTTTAATTTATAAGCAAGGCATAGCTAGACTGACAACAAATAAAATAGGAAAATTGCACTGCAATAAAATTCTGTGAATGTCATCTCTCTGAAAATATCTTAACCTGTAATATTTTTTTCATTGCAGCTGACTGAGGGTTAGACCTGTAGATAAAGGGCGATTATTTTTCTAGAGTTTGGCCGCTTGTCCTGTTTCGGTCACACTGCTATGCATGTGTTAGGCAGTCTTTCTCAGTTCTCTTCTCTCACACCTTCTGTTTACTGGTGTGTTGGGGTAATCTTCCTTTCTTAGGTCCCATAAAGCATTTGATTGTTGTCTTGCAAGGAAATACCATTCCTCCGGCAGTGAGCTTTTCATAGGAAAGGTACACCCTGCTGCCCTGTAGCTGTCTCTACTGCATGGTAACTTGTCATTTTAATGCTGAATCATAGCACATGTTAAACAGCGAAAGATTCCAAAGTAGAACTAATATTTTAATTGTTTTTGGAAAGGCTGTTAACATGTTTATAAAAGAACACTGGGCTGATTGTTCTTTAACGAGCTGGTCTCTCCCATGTGCCGTGACAGGTCCCATTAGTCACGTCTATTTGGAGTCGACAATTACTTGTGACTCAGGTTGGATGGATATCGTCCTCGCACGATGCAATCACATGTAATTGGGAATCGGGAGAGGACTTCCTGTTGATTTTATGTAAACATCTTTATACTATCTTACCAGGTTTTGCTGGCACTTACATATGAGCTGCTAACTCACTAAGCCTACTCTTTCTTAAAAGAAATATGTGAGACTCATACCTTAGTAATTTGTTCTAGGTAAGTATTTCTTTATTTTCCAAAGGAAAACTTTACTTTGAACTTTTTCTCTTTATGGAAAACTCTGATGTGACTAAATGACATTTCTGAGTCTGTTGGAATGTTCCTTTTTATGGCTTATCGGGTATTGGTGTGAAGAACCTCATGGCCACATAGCAATGACCCCTGGCTTCTTGTCTGTCACAGATCCCAGATTACAGGAATGCCGTAATTGTGGCCAAATCTCCAGCCTCAGCCAAGAGGTAGGTGGGAGCTCACAACCATCTGTACTTCTTCATTCAAGCACTCTACCCCAATTGGCTCGTGGCGTGCTGGATCCTACCCCGGGTGTTCCAACTGAGGGACCCAGTCTGAGCGGCTGGACGCTGAGGTAGTCAGCGGATGGATACTCTGAAGGATTGTTCAGCCAGCTCCATTTATTAACGAGTCATTTATTTTTCTCTGCCCCCCACCACCCCGAGTAGTGGCTGCCAGTAATGACCAGAGCCACCAGGTCTGGGGAGCCCCGCGCCAGTAATGACCAGAGCACCCAGGTCTGGGGAGCCCCACGCCAGTAATGACCAGAGCACCCAGGTCTGGGGAGC